CAAAAGGTTTTCCCCCCCAAAAAAAGGGTTAGGCCCCCCCCCCCCCCCCCCCCCCCACCCCTCTCGGTGTTTGCCATCGGGGTTTGGGTTTTCGTCGCTTGGCAAAGACGTTGTAAAACAAGCCCCCCACTCGGTGTTTGCCATCGGGATTGGGTTTTCGTCGCTTGGCAACGACGTTGTAAAATAAGCCAGTTCACTTCGTGAACTCGGCAACCAGGTTACCGTTTTTTTTTTTTTTACCTCGGTTTTTTTTTTTTTGGCGGTAACCATAATGGTGGTCGAGTAGATCATGTTGTGCGGGCGAGAACCCTCACTCCGCGCAATCGGGGGATGATCGCACCACGTTGTGTTAAAATGGTCAAGCTTCCTCGAGGCAGTTACACAGTGCTTACAACTGTCTCTGGAAGTGAAAGCACCAGAAAATAAATTAAGTCATACGTAGCTGTCATCCGTACGCAAGGAAGTAAGCACAAGATGCCGAACACCCTTAGCAGGATGCAGCTCACCCTTCATGCGACTCGCCAAATACCTCACGGCGCTTTGCGCTTGGTGATGTGAGAGCCTGGTCCGGTGAGAACCCGGCGTGCTCCGTCCCGGCTTTGTAGGGATGCGAGGTCAATGGTCAAACGACTACGGCATGCACGACTATGAGTACACCCCCCCCCCCCCCCCCAGCCCTAGAAAAAAAGGCCGGGTTTGGTACCAACAGCGCCTTCGTTTCGTTGAGAAATAAGAATAGTATTCTGGTTGACGTAGGCATAATACTGCTGTCTACCGCCGTACCTCGTTGTGCAGGAGCCCCCCGAACCCGTAGAACAGGAAGGACAGGTACTTGAGCCACCCTCTGAAGGCACGACACGAAATCAGCGGGCGAAAATACATCGAAACGACAATCAGAAAATTCAGGAGGAAAAACACGAGGGAGCAGACACCCGAAACCCAGCGGCTGGCGGGTGAAGGATAGAAGGAACCTTGTCCACACCACCATCGCTCCATCAACAGGAACCGATGAAAGTCGACAGGCGCGGAGAAAAAAACAGTGCAGTATCTGGGCGGTGGTGTTTGGAACGACGTTATTGTCTTGGCAAGGACCTCCACGTCGTTACAAGTTCGCCTTGAAGCAAAATGTTATGGGACACAATCGTTTGTTTCTGCGCAGCATAAAGAGTTCCTCCAGAACGCCCGAACCCTGCGCGTACGTGTTCGCTACCCTGCGCCAGAAGTCCTCGCTTGGTTCCTTAGAACGGGAGAGAAAAACAAGGGAGATAGATCCTGGGGTGTAGACACGCCACACCAGGTTCGAGCGGAAAGGAAACAGCAAAAACGAGCTGTAACTCTCCCTGCCGCCAACAGACAGCCCCCGAACGACCCACCACGTTGAGCCTCGCTAACAAACATACCCTTGGGGTGGGTTGTCGGAGTCCTTTCGAGTGTGGATATTTTGGAAAATACAACGAAGAGGACCATAGCCGCAGTTACACCGCTGCCGCCCTCAGCGATCACACGACTTTGGAGGGCAAGCTCTGGTCCCAACGCAAACAATGTCCGGCACGGACACACTCTTTCCTTCCTCCGCTCAACTGGTGCTGGCAGCGTAGCATCGAAACTATTATCCTCGAGGGTGTATGTACATGTCATGTTGACACACGTACATCTGCACCCAGAAAAAATTGTTGCAGCGACAGAAATGAACCACGAAACCTAAACAAACGGGCGATATGATACTTACAGTCCCTCCGGCACGTTGTTGTTGTTCACGTAGAAACCGCCTGTGACGGGAAAAGTGGCGAAGACGCAAGCAGGAGGGGGGGGCGAGGGAGCGGAAGGAGGTCGATGAAAAGTGGTGGTAGGGTACCCGTGGTTCAGTCTACGGTGTGGGTAGGTTGACGACGCCCCGGCGGGGGCGACAAGGGTTGGCGGTGTTACCGCAAGCGAGGCCGTGTAGGGTATAAAATATTCCTCTTTCACGTCGTGCGCCTAAAATATCCACGATAATACTTTTTCTTCCGGGTTGGCATAACTTAATCTTCCGAGGTGCTCTTTGTGCAGTGTCTTGAAACAGAGGTAGGCGGATGCCGCCACAACGGCCTCCCAGTTCACCCCTCCCCCCCCCCCTCTTTCCTTCCCACATTACCCAAGAGACAAAACGTGACAACCCCCAGCCAAGGTAGAAACTCTGGCCATGAGGCAAACGAGAGGAGAGACCAGAAAAGCCAATGCTCGACGTCTTGAAAAGAGAACTCAACCTAGGCTGACGGCACTACATCTATCGCAACACAGCCGGACGTTTGATTGCACGGGTACTGTAACGCCGAACAACACGCTCGATTGTACCTGCTGCCCACATACTCGTACGTCGCCGGGTCCAGCCCCGGCATTGCGGTATTCTAGGAGTTGTTCGGTCGTTACATTACGTTTCCTTCTTCCATAACCCCTACTGTGTAATAGTCTGTTCCCTAGACGATCTCGTCTCTGAAAACCAAAGATGGAGCAACCGCGGTTCGTCGTTTTCTACGTCGCAATACATTTGACGCGTCTAACCAACACGCCGTTGCGGTAGCAAGGGGTTCTCGGGACGATAAAGAACGCCAGGTATACACCTACACAAAACAAACCGAATTTTTTTTTCCCACAAAAAGCGAACGATTATGTACGCAGGGGTGCGTCTCACCGAAGAGCATCAGGGACAGGATCAGCACAAAGCTGAACGACTGGGCCGTGAAGATGTCCGCAATGGACGTCGAGATCAGCAGCCCTATGCTCTGCCCGACAATGACCTTCGGTTAGAACAAAAAGCGGGATGCAAACAAGGCAAAACACGGTCAGAGACAGATCAGATGGGACGTTCCAGATCCTTTTTTGGCACGCTGAACACAAAGCGGCGCCTCGTTTTGTCCCCGTTCTCCCTGCCTCCTTCTGCGGTGATCCAAGTTCGTATACTGTGTTATCAGCACCTATTGCTGTACCCGCCTGCCTTCTTACGTGTTTCCCTTGAACCAGCTCGTGCCGGACAAGAAAATCGGAATCACAAACCCCCAGCGTCTTGGGCGCAAAAAATCGAACACACAGGGTGTAGCCCAAAACGAGCGGTGTGTAGCCCAATAGAAAATGCTGCATCCCGCTTCGCCTGTTTTCTCAGTTGTGAGGGAGTGCCCGTTCATATCGGCCGAACCAACCAGACAACAAGAACAACAGCAGAACTAAACAATAGCAACAGAAGCAACAGCAGGAAACGGCAACGAAGGTCAATCAAGTGGGTCGACAGCAAACAACAACGAAGACGAAACTGACATCCCTCTCCCAAACTCTCACCTGTCCCATGAAGAGCAGCAAGAATGTGAAGAACGCGCCGGCCTCGGGCCTCAAGCCCACGCACCAGTACACGGCCGTGGCGTATAGGATCGGGGCTGCGGTGTAGAGGCCGATGTCGCTGGTCGACTTGGCCAGAAAGTACGGCCCAACGCGGTAGGAACCCGTGGATCGCTCCCGGATCATCAGGCCTCGCTCGGGAGGAAACACGCGCATGCTTGTCTGTGATCGGCCAGCCGAGGAGAGGGGGTGGGGGGGTGGGGGGTACTCATGTTTTGCATGTGCCTTAGCGGCTAGACCACTGACCACGCGTCCTCGAGAGGACGGAGCATTGGTCCCACGGGACGGATCGCCGATGGCCAATCGTTCCTCAGTACTTTGCCAAAGGTGGCTCAAAAACGTCTATTCTCTAGCTCATCTACCGTACCGATATCATTTCCCGCCTATTCAACCCACTTCCTATGCCCAGGGGGGGTACTCATGTAAACGCATGCCGTAGTCGTTAGACCATTGACCTCGCATCCCTACCATGCCGCCGGGGCGGAGCGATGTTTCGCCGGCCCAAGTTACGGTTCACAAGGACGAACCAGAAGCTGGTCATCGTCCTTGTGTTTGCTGTGCCAAACCATATGTGCCATGCATTGATTGGGCATCCCGGGGGGGGCGGGGGGAGGTTACGCGTGAATATTGGGGCGCATCAGAACGTGTCCCAGAGCAAAAGGAGAAAAACTCTCCATTGGGTACGTACGGGAATGGAGAAGTATGGCAAGGAGAGGCGAGAACCGCAAGTTGCGTACCCCAGCCGACCGTCACCACGATGTGAAAATATGCATGGAAACCAACAACCGCAACGACGGCAACAAAGGTGTGCTGCAATCCACCCAAGGGACGCCCTCACGTTCAGGCCGTTGAAAGCTTGCTGGATGGAGATGAAGAACATGGTGCCCGCGATGTCCGAAACGTTTTCGCTCTGCCACCAGATGGCGGAGGCTATCAGGGCGACAACGAAAATCTGGGTCAAGTTGACCGAGTTGAAGACCTGGGGTTGAGACACGCGTGCACGGAGACGATGGTCCGCTTGAAGAGGGACTCAACTTCAATCGACCCCGAATAACACTCATGACACCGAGCGGAAAAGAGCAAGCACTGGTCTCACCACAACACGAGAATGTATTTGTTTTTCGCACGAAACCAGAACAAAGGGGGGGGATTTCATTGGTGCCGAAATAGCAACACACGATGGCCCCTCGCGCTCCGCCTTTCTCAGGGTAAATGCATCCTAGAACGGCGTGTTCGCGAGTTGAATGTCCAGCTATAAGACCGAGGTCATCATGTTCAAATCAACCGAGACACCCATGGGCGACATTCCAGAGAGTTTGTTCCCCTGATGCTCACCTCTCCCCTAGACTGTCGACTCTGCCTCTGCAGGAGCACCTTGAGCTGGTAGCCGAAAGACGTGACCCACTCGGACTTGTCCGACCCGCTGCCCTTGAGCCTATCTCGCGTCTTGGTGACGGTGGATGCCGTGGGGACGGCCATGTCCGACTGCGGTGGGCACGGCAGGTGGGGAAATTTCCAAGCGCGACCAAGGCCAAGAAAACGGCAGACAAGCAACCAAGACAGGCCAAAGTAGAAGTGGGTCAGGGGTACACGTACACCATTACGAAGCAACGCGGGCACTGCTGGCTTAGGGAGAACTGAAGGCAGTTGCGCATCGGGTGCACACCGCTTACAGATGCACCACCATTGCGGGCCTTCGCAAGTAAGCCAGAGGGCGCGCCTGGTGTGAACCATTTTCCCCTCCCTTCTCTTCACGTTCCCTTACCGAGAGAGGCCCCAATGCGCGTTGCTGGTAGGCTTGGGTGAGGGTCTTCCCGCCCTGTACGATCGTAGAGGATGTCGTCAAGTCGAGGATCCAGTCGGCCGAGTTGGTCTCTGGAGGGAGTTCCAAACCTGTGGCATTCGTGGAAGCGGGAAGGGGGTACTCAATACCTCCCATAAGCAGGCGTGATATGTAGTGAGGTATTGTTTGTTTTTCTTCTCGCTGCATGGTGTGGGCGTTTTTTGCTACAGGCCATTCACGTTCTGCCGGAACGGTGCGGAACACCTCGGGTTTTCCGCAAAACAGGCCACCAAGGCGCGGGGTGGTGAGGGCACAGCTATGGATGGTGATGGGGAGGAGTACAACAAACAAGGCCTGCTCAAGACGAGCAATAAACATGAAAGGAGGCCAAACCTCGCAGACTTTCGAGCAGCACGCAAGATGGGATACCAACTCAACTTCGGGTAAGTTTTTGGCTGGTAACGCGCGCCTGTACCAAGGGTCTGGTACACAAAGTTGGCGTTTGTGTTTCATTCGGGGGGGGGGGCGCGGACAACACCAACAAAAACACAGTATTGATCCCCGTAAAAGGCCGCATATGGAAAAGGTCGGCGAAATCGCGTGACACAGATGGGAATTCAAGCTGTCTCATAGTATCGGCGTGCCCGGCATAACGCCTGCCAAACGCCGTTGGCGCAGTGCACAGCCCTACGCAGGGACGACCACAAGGCCACACGCACCCAGGGCCTCAAAGTACTTGACGATGGTGCTCCTGGAGCCGTAGTAGACGGTGTTGCCCTTGCTGAGCAGCAGCACCTTGTCGAACTCTGAGAAGATGTTGGACCTCGGCTGGTGGATGGAACAGACGACGATCATGCCCTTCCGGGTGAGCGTTCGCAGCACGTGCGTGATGCTCAGCGCCGTGCTGGAGTCTTCTCTCGCGGGGACACGGAGGGCACATTCGGCGATAGAACACAGTCAGCACCCCGCGACAAAGAAACAAACCTTCAGAAACAAAGGCAGGCTCAGATCTTGACAATAATTAAGAAAAATCGACAATGTTAAGGAACACACCTCAGCTAATATATCGCACACCAAACTCAATACAACGACCTATGCTCGAAGAAGTCGACGAAACAAGAAATTGAGCCTCGAACCCCAAATTGATGTTCCTTTAACGCGTGCGCCAACTGTACAGCAGGGTAGATTGATCCAGCGCGTGTTTTGGGGGGGGTTATGGATGGACGGGGAGGAGCGATCTGCGCAGTGTTCCGCGCAAGAGGGGGCAAGAGGACAGGCAGCGATGCACAACAACACAGCAGCGGTGCGTACCTAATCCGGACGTCGGCTCGTCTTCCCTCCCGTGAAGTAGCGGTTTCCCGTGGGGAGATAGGCCGTAGGTTGTTGACAAGGCAATAAGGAAGACGACAAGCAACATGGAGGGGATGGCGTAGGTCAGAAGGGAGCAAAAGGGCAAAGAGGAAAATACGGGATCGGGAGGGGGGGTTGTGGGGCGGGGGTCGGTGGGATAAAAGCAGCAAGCGCGGTATACCGCAGTCCATGTGCTGGAAATGGTGCTTTTCCACAACTGCAATACCGCAGTCATCCGTTGAATAAACCGCAACAAAAATTCGATACTCGTCCCCTTTTCCCGCTGGCCAGTCGTCCTTGAACACCCCTCCCCAAACACGAAACTCGAACACGCGGCCTTCGCGGGGGGACGGAACCCCGCGCGCTTACCAAGAAACAACACGTCCGGGCTGGTGATGAGCTCGACCCCGATGCTGACACGCTTCCGCTCTCCCCCCGATATGCCCCTCCTTCCTTCCTTCCCGATGATGCCGTCGGCGACATGCGACAGGCCCAGCAGCTCAAGGAGCTCCGCGACGCGCTCGTGCTTCTCCTTGTCCGGGGTGGACTGGGGCAGGCGCAGCTTCGCGGCAAACATGACCGTTTCCCTCACCGTGAGGTTCCACAGGCACATGTCGTCCTGGTGGTGAAAGGCGTACATGACCGCACGGGGTGAATCGTGTGGGCGCGACGTGTGTACGGGTCTTTGCACACACGGGGCTCAAGATATAGTAGGCCGAACATATTCAGGCTGGGTTGCGTGGAGAAAAGGAACAAAAGGTGGGATACCTCGAGTAAGAAGGAGGGGTTGATGCGAGGCGAGTCAGGTGGTGGGCGTGCACGGCCGAAAATTTATTACCGTGGAGCGCTCAAGGGCCAAGCCACTGTTTCACGCTTACAACACGGTAGGGGGGGGGGGGGAGGGGGCAGGCACCTGGAATACGAAGCCCATCCGCCTCTTGAAGGATTTGGACAGCGGACTGCCATCCACGAAAACGCTCCCGGTCACGCTCTTGTGCGGGACTCGTTGTGCGAGGACGTTGAGGAGGCTGGTCTTCCCGCTGCCTGAGGGACCCATCTGCCGCCACCAGGCATCATCACCCACACCGGGAACAGAAGAAAAAAATAACGAAAACCATGAGGGAGACAGCCACGACAAGGAGCAATGTAAATAGCAGCGGTGGACAAGACAAGAGGAAATACGTCAGAATATCGGAGAAACAGGAAGAGACAGAGGCAGAAACAGACTAGACACAGAGAAAGAGAGACAGAGACAGAGAGAGAAGCGGCCTGACAACCCGCACTGCTGCAGTGCCTTGTCCATGGGTCTGCGTCCGTCTGCCAGTCTTTCGGGTTCACAAGGCCTTATTGTGGTGAGAAACATGTATCGACGCAGTTCTTCGGTCAGGTGCCGCTCAGAGGAAGTATGACAGACACGGGGCATATGCTGACAAAGCAAAGGTATCCAAAAACAAGCACGCGAAAAAACCGTGCGGGCACTGGTCGTGGTACGGAGAAGGTAGTTGGCTCAAGCACACGTACCAGCGCGAGCATCTCTCCGGAGTTGGCCTGGCCGGAAACGCCTTCCAACACCTTAAGGGTTTCCGCCTCCATGCCCGGCCTGATGTTCTCCACCTCGTACTTGAGATCCAAGAACGCCAGCTCCTGGATCGAGTCCCCCCTGGTGTTGCAGGAGAGGATCAAATGGAGGGAGTTTGCCGATTATTGCGCCGACGGATTTTCTTGTGCCGCATATTTTACTCTTTCTTGCAGCCAGTAGGAAACACAACGGATCACCTACACACCTGTTGAATATCACCCGTACTTTCAACCAAGGGTTTATTCGGTAACGGTTTTACAGGCGAACAGGTTTTCGGCGGAAATGCCATTTGGCGGTAATTTTTTTGGCGGTAGGCGGTAATGCGTTTTAGGCGGTAACGACTTTGGCGGAGGCGGTAAGACCAAAAAACGGCGGTAACGTTGCGGCGTTATTGCCATACGGCGGTAAATGTCTTGGCGGCAGGTGGTAATACGATTTTCGGCGGTAACGACTTGGCCGGAGACGGAAAAACAGAATACTGGCGGTAGTTTTCGGCGGTAACGCCATACGGCGGTAATCGTTTTGGCGATAGGCGGCAACGCGTCTTTCGGCGGTAACGCTCATGGTGGAGGCGGTAAAACCAAAAATGACGAAAAACGGCGTATTACCGGGACCGCCCACCACGGCGGCAATATAACGGCGGTAATGATTGCCATTTCCTATGGCCACAGCTTCAAGCGATACCAATCAAGGCGACAATTGCGGTGCGATGTAAGTTACCGCGCTCGACTTTCCCTGCAAGCATTGTGCTGAGCAGGTCACCGATGAGGTTTGGCGAGGGCTGAAATTTTTCGCTCCGCCTGACAGCTGGTGGCCTCGATCCCGTGTTACAATAGAGCGAATAAACGACAGATACGGCATTTTCTGCCGGAGCCGTGACCTTACAAATACGTCCACACGTGGACTCGAACTCCTGATTCACACTCACCGTCCGTGGTTGTACGGCAGTCGAGGCTAGACGTCTACTCACTCAGCCAATCGTTCGGCGGTAGTTTTTCGGCGGTAATGCCGAATGGCGGTGATTTTTCGGCGGTATTGACGTATGGCGGATATTGTTTGGGCGGTAGACGCTAATGCGTTTGTTGGCGGTAACGACTTTGGCGGAGGCGGTAAAACTAACATACAGCGGTAATTTTTCGGCGGTAACGCCATACTGTTATGGTATTAGGAGGTAGACATGTGATCGTGGTTGATCATGGTTATTTGGCGCCGTCGGATGCTAAGACGTGACGTCATGCTAGATCAGGGCTTTATGCCGAGACATGTGCCCTTCTGTTTCCGTGTGTGCGTACAGACGATCCCTGATCGTGTGTGCGTGGGACATTGTGAGTTGGCTTGGAAAGCGTTAATCAAGAGAAAGAGAACAACGGAAAGCAACAACAACCTGCTACTGTGGTCGGACAAGAGAGCCACACAGCACAAAGGTGATTGATTCTGAAGGAAGGGGCCAAATACCATTACAATACATACGGCGGTAATTGTTTTGGCGGTGGGCGGTAACGCGTTTTTCGGCGGCAAAGCTTTTGGCGGAGGCGGTAAAAACAAAAAAACAGCGGAAAAACGGCGGATTACCGGGACCGCCCACCACGGCGGTGATTCAACCGCGGAAAAATTCCGAGTAAACCCTTGCTTTCAACAAACCTGTTAAAATACCAACCCAACAAACCTGTTAAATATTAACAACCGTGGTAAATAACACCCGTACTTTCACTATAACATCTACATCCTCCACCGCAAACGCAATTTTGGGAGCTGTCCAGCCCAGTCCCTGGTCACGCCCGGATACTCCGTCGACCCAAGCGACAGATAGTTTGAACGCTTTCGCCCTGCACCTGTTGGGAGGAAAGATGGACGACGACTCGCGTGCCTTGCGTATTTCCATGGCATTCGCCTCCAGGTCCATTTTTTCTTCTGATGCTGCCGAGGTCATCGTAAAAAAGAGCCTTCCTGAGCACTAGAACCGCGGTGCCAACCCTGCACAGAGTCGGACAACGTAACAAAGGGCACCGTTTTTTTTGTCGTGATGGGTCAGCTGGAGAGGAGCGGGTGTTTGGTCCTGTGCTCCCTGCTTCCATCAGCAACGGTCGTGGGAACTGTCCTGATCGCTGTGCATCAGTTAGACTGTAGTCTACCAACCACGGGCCAACTTTGCCCAGAGTGGGTAGCGTAACGAAAACGGCCCCGTTTATCGATCGCGATGTATCAGCCGGAGAGGCGCGTGTGTTTGGTCCTGCGTCCCGGCGGCGTCCAGCAATGGTCTGAGCATGCGTGTAGCAGATAGCAGGGTAGCGCGCGGCAAAGAAAGCTGCTACATGTAGTCTGCGAAATATCAGTCCTGCCGTCGGATCCTACGCATGATAATGATTCGCACCGGTACGCAACGCTGCTGCTGTGTTCTGTGTTGGCATATGACGCACTATGTACTGCCGGGACGGCTGCCGCGCTCGTTCCCTCCACGGGGAAGAGCTATCAACTCGGCCTCCGTCAAGGGGTGAAACATGTATACGTGCATGGGCATCAGGCCGGGAAGGGGCGTTTTTCGCGGGCCAAACATGATGCATTTATCCCGCACTGACTCCCGTGTGCAGGTAGAGACGAGAACACCACTCAAGCTCACTCACACGCGCAAGAGTACATGTTCACAACAGACAGCACAGTTCCATCACGGAGGCGGTAATAGTCATGGATACTCACCGGATGAAGCCAGTTGATAGAGCAAGAGGCGAGGCAGGGGTGCCGGGTGTGTGACGAGCACTGACGCGCCTGTGGGGGGTACGCAGCGTAGAGAGGAACGATCCGGGGGGGGGGTTGAGTTGAAAATTTTCATGAGCTGAGCAAGCCAGCAGTGAGAGGCGAGATCAGATAGGGCGAGGAGAGGGAGAATGGGTGCAATATACACTCCGCCGAAGGGTGCTCTCCATTTAATGCGACCCATTCCTCGGGTGGGACGAGTTCTTTCGACGTCTCGGACAGCGCACGACGAAGGTAAAAGACGTGTATCATGAGCAAGCGTACATGGCAGAGTTCTGTATAATGAAGATTGCAATTACGAATCTGATATCACGAAGTTTCGAATCTGGGGCAAGGCACAGAACGAAGTGCGCGAAGTAGGGCGTTGGGTCTGTTGAGATATTTCCAAACGGCGTAGGCATGACGATGACGAGCGCCAGGAATGCAGGTGGACTCGAGAGGGCGCGCAAGATCATGGTCATGAAGCCGTCCTGGCTGCGGGGTGACATTCTCAGCATCGATGGCCGCCCGGTAGATAGTCTTTAGTCCTGCCTTTTAGGGTTTCGCACCCGCTTGGGCGACCTCCTGCTCGTCTTATCGGGAGTATAGTACGTTATTTATCAAGCTCCACACATCACATCTGACGGCGTGGTTGTCGTTCTGGTGTAGTATTTATCAAAATAGGGTACCGGCAGTATTTAGTAATACAGAAGTAGATTTGCTTCATTCATCATCCATCACACAGTTCATTTATCATCCTCTCCTCTCGGATTCACTACTGAGGGCATGGCTTGATCCAAACAGCATGCTGCGGCCGTTCGTTATACCCTAGAAAAGTACCAGTCATTCCCGTCCCCTTTGCGTAACCTCTTCACGTGGTTTTTGATTATTTTTTCTCCTACTACTGCTGGGATCCTTGCCTTCCTCGCTGGCGTTTTGTGGCGACTTTAAGAGTAGCTTCTGTCGTGCTCTCACCAATGCCTGACGTATCATACATTACCACATCCATCCGCCATTTTTCCTCCTTTCGTTCTCGGTGGTTCCCGCGCCCTTCACAACTTTCTTCACACACCTTGTCCATGAAAACTCATCAAGCGCGCTCTGTCTGGATTGCTTCTTGAGCATACATGCGTTTGTTTGGAGTACAGACTATATCCCCTGCTCCTTCTTTGTTTTCAGTAGATGTTAGAAACGCACTCTGTGTCCTCTTCGCTTCTGCACTCTAACGTTGCTGCGAGGCTTACCAGTAACATGGGCTCGTTAGTGTGGTGCCCTGCAGGTTCGTGAGAATTGCAATTGTCAATGTTCGAGGGAGGAACTTTCGTCAAGATTTCACTGAAGTAGAGGCAAATAGAAACGGCTGGGGAAGTTAGGAAGAAGAACAAGAGGCACCCAAAGCAATAGCGTCCACCAAGTCCCGAACCTCGACATCTAAAATACGAGGTTTTTTAAGGAGTGGCGAGGAGATCCCAGGACTTGGGGGGGCAGACACGCGAAGTCGAATACCCATTGTTGCTGGTTCAGCGCAACCACGAGGAGAATGAGGAACTTCGCTCCGCTGGCGCTTCCTCTCCTACAGTGTTCAGGACTTGAACCACGACAAAATGCAACTTTTTTCGGTGCGGGCGGGGGGGGGGGTATGAATACGACCCATGTTGAACAGACTCTAATCACACACAATAATAAAGTTTGACCGCCGCGACGACAGCATGGCTGTCGCTTGCGTGAGGCGAAAGCGCTAGACCGGAGAGATCAATTTGAAGGCCAGGGTTTTGAAGTCAGAATCCTCGGTGTTTTCGGTACTAGGCGAACCAGGCAATGCATTCAGGAACAACCAGAGACTGGCTGCTCCGCTACAAACAACGGCTCTCGATGCCTTTTACACTACAAAACACCACCGTTGACGACCAGTTGGTAAGTATCTTGCGTAGTTTCTCTACTCCGAAGTTGCCAGCGTAGCTCTGACTGTGAGTTGTCCTTTCCGAAAGAAGCTCATCGCCGTCGTGGGGACGACTCTCTGTGGAAGTTGTAGGCGAAACCTTCCCTTCTCTGCAACACCGTCGCCGCCGCCATCACCGGCGTCTGCAGCTGGATTCCGTTCGACAACAAACTTGCGCCCGTCAGACGAAATTTTCACCGAAGGACATCCGGAGAGACGTTTTTTTCGGGCGGTGCTGATGGGGGCGGCTAGATTGCCGTCCGAGAAAGAGCAGACAATTTCGACCGTCGGGTCTTCGCCGGGCATCTCGATCTTGTAGATCTGTGGGACCGAGTGGGAGAACGCATTGGCAACGTTGCGCCATGCCAGGTTGCGTTTGATGGTCTGATGCAGCAGGTATTGCAGTTACAGTTACAGCATATATATATGCGCCCCACATGACGCCGGACGCTAGCCCTACAACATGCTGCCTCGGAACTTGAAGGACAGCTGCTAAGGGTTGCAGATTTTCCTCCTCCCTTACCCGGTACTCAGGTCGGCTCGTCGCAGGTGCATCCGTCGCCTTCTCATCATCCTGCTCATGGTTTCTTGATGCGTTTGCTGCTGCATTCGAAACGTTGTGCAATGGCGCTTTTTCGTCTGTGAGCCCTTCTTCTACCGAGGCTGTGGGTGGTGTCCTCCCAAGAATATTTCGGCCGGGGCCATTCTCGTCGCCATCGCCGTCGCCGTCGTCGTCCTCGTCATCATCGAGCTGAATCTTTACCCTTCTGGGTTTCGGTTCAACGCGGTCGTCCTGTTGTTGACAAAAGGCCAGCAGTGGGCATTCCGCCAACAAGTTTTAGCACTGTAGAAGACTATTAGTCTATTGATAAGGAGCCCACAGTAAAGAAGCACTTACTTTTTACAGCTGAGCTCTTGTCTACATACAGCAGTGCAACCAAGCACACACGCACACCATTTTTATGCCTGCCGCGACCGTAGGATAAGGGTCAGGCTTGGGGTTCCGGCAGTGAATTTTAGGTTGGTTGGGTTGGGTTGGGGTCGAGCATTCTACCTGAAGTGGACTCACTGCCGTGGAAGCAACTGACAGAGCAGAGTGCATCACATTACCTCTCTCTGTACACCACACACGACACAAATAGTACACGACAACCCCCAGTTAGTTTGTAGACTACATGACTACATGTGGGTGGATCATGCCGGGCGGAAAGATTTCGGCGGGTAGACTACAACAGCAGTACGCACCACAGAGCTTCTCACCATGGCGGCCGACGATTGGGTCTTGACTCGAGGTAACGGGCCAGCGGTGTCTCTTGTGTCTGTTGTGGCCGGAATGTCGAATCCTCCATCCGCGCACGCTTCTATCACATCGCCCATCTTCCTGTCTGTGCCGAACGCTCTCCTTGTGGGTGACAAATGACAGAGAGATTAGACACGATCCTGCCTGTTGGTGTGTTGTGTTGTTGTGTACGATCCAAGTGTGGATCTTGTACGATCTGGTGGGGGCTTCGCAGGTGTGCATGCACCAGACGAACACAGACACGGCATACGGCACATTTTGGCTACAACACGCCGTACCCCCTCTGCCTCGAGTCAAGTGCTGGTCAGCCAGCCGAGCTGCGGACAACCAACCTGCCGCCTTGAACAGCGAGAGGGAGAGAGAGAGCCTTGGTGCAGGGGGGCACACGCGTCAAGCCGGAGTATCGACATCACTCAACTCAAGGTGCAGAACCTTCTGGAATGTGCCCTGGCCCCCTGTGTTCGGTCTGATTTTCCACCCTCAGGATGGATGCCCCTTTGAATTTTTTGGAAAAGGGTTCGAACCGTCTGCCACAAACGATCCGATGCCGTGTGCTTTCAAGGCGCGTGCGGGGGCATCCCTTCTAAGCAGAGGGTCGTTTGCGTCGCGGGTGTCTGTACGCGTACGCCATGAGCAACAAGCAGGTAGAGACGTGCTTTGATAAGGTCCACCACACAGCAGAGTGCTGCTGTTCACAGCAAGGCGTGTGGTATCTACGTTGGCCACGTCTGTTGCTGCTGTCTCCCACGCGTACCAAATCTGCTGCACAATTTGTTCCTCTGTGTTATTCGAAATCGACACAGCAGCTCCACAGCTGTACGTGTCTCACGCGACTAGAGCCATCGCAGCAGGCATCGTTAGTCCCAAACGCCGCGCTTCGCCTCTGCAGAAAATCTCCTCAAGGCGTGTGCCTAGAATCTCTGCAGGGCTGCTACTGCTGCTGCGAATACGTCGCGAGTAGTCTCACCGTCCTTGTCTCCGTTGAAGCACGGCATGTTTTACCCAACATTCAATACCGGTTCTTGTATGCATAGCAGCCACGTCATGTTTGCCAGTATCAATGGAGGGGTTGGGGTTTTTCAGCTGTGCTTGGACCATTCCGCATCTCTCTCTCGGGCACCCAAAGTAAAACCCAGACAACGAAACCAGTAAAGTCCTTCAGAAACGAAGGATGAATCGTTACAGCTGCCCCGCCCAGCTCGACGGTAAAATTTGCATTTTCAATGCCCCGACCTCCGCCGCCTCTGGACTTCATTCCCTTTGGGTGAAGTCAGGTGTCCTCACCAGCCGAAGCGCCTGCTGTATCAGGCGAAACTTGTCTAGAGCTGGAGTACTTGCGGCTTGCGGCGTTGAACGACGAGGAAACAAGGGGGGGGGGGGGGGTAGGGATGGACAATCCTGCGGCGTGTACGGCGCTTGTTCTTTACGCGGCGGATGAGAACAACACCGCGGCAACAGCACCGGCAGCGGCACGGGATAGCAGCTTCGATGGGGCAGAAAACAGGAGCGCGCCTGCAGCCGTCGCTCTTGGCGCCGTAGGGGATAAGATCGTAGGCTCGGCGATGAAAAATGGGGGGGGGTCGGAAGAGGTACAGAAGGCCGCCGGCTTGGCTTCGACAGCGGTCGCGGCGGTGCCGCGGTTTGTCGGACTGTCTAACCAGGGGGCGACGTGCTACATGAACAGCTTGCTCCAGACCCTCTACATGACACCCGAGGTGTGTGAATGCATGTGTATGTGTTCATGTAAGCATACGTTTAGTCACGTGTTCGGTAGAGATTCCGAAACGATACAGCAGTTTGGCAGCAGCAGCAGCAGCAGCAGTGCAGTAGGCGTACGGGTTAGTTCGGGTTGAGGGTTAGGGTGTGGGGGCAACGACCCTCCCCCCCCCCCTCTATTTTACATATAACGCTCGATGTCCTCGCGAAGGGGGTCCCAGCAGTGTGCCATATGACACGAAGGGACCTAAATTTTTACGGGGTAGGGCCCAGCGGAGAGTATTACTTCAAACGAACCGTTGCCACTCGAATTTCGGAAGAGTTTCGCTCGTCGCGATTCAACCGCAGATGATTCGGATCCGTCTACGCACATCGAACCTTGCTTGCCGACGTGCCGCGCCCTAAATGCGTCGAGGAGAGCGGTGTAAATGCTTGACACCGAAACGACAACTTCCTCTGTCCCTCGTCTATCAGTTTCGATCGGCGCTGTACGAGTGGAAGCATGGCCCGCAGTCTTCTTCGGGGGGTACAGCAGATGAGGGTTCTGCGTCGGCACCCACCCGCCCAGTGGTCGGAGGGGACAAGGGACAGGTGAAGCAAGAGGAGGAGGAGGAGGAAGTGGAAGATCCAAGCGAGTGCATCCCGCTGCAGCTGCAGAAGCTGTTCGGGCAGCTGCAGCTCAGCGACGAGACGTGCGTGGAGACTAGGGCGCTCACCGACAGCTTCGGGTGGACTGCGCAGGCGAGTGCTCTCTCTCTCTCTCGGCGGGGTCGCGTCGTTTTGGGGGCTGTGGGACGACAAGGCGGGGGCAGGGGCCGGCCGACAGTTAGCTCACGTCGCAGCAAGATAGACTTGCAGGCCTGTTGCAGACGATTCTCAGTTGACGGTGGAGCGACACCACCTGGATACTCGCTGGCCTTCGTTTTGTCTGTCCGTATCCTGCCGATCCAGTTACATGCCTTTGCCGCGGCAAAGTCTTTTTCATTCATTGTCTGCAAGTTCGTTTTTGGACGAGCCAGATGCCACCAGGATTCCCGGTTCGTGTGCATCGCCAAGTGTCTGTATATCCTTGACATCTTAAGTTTGAATCACTTTGTCTTGCCTTTTCTCCGGATCGGAACCTTTGTCGTGGTATGTACACGTATCCTCTCTTTTTTGTTGTTGTTGTCAGGACTCCTTCCAGCAGCACGACGTGCAGGAGCTGTGCAGGGTGCTGTTCGACGCCCTCGAAAGCACGTTCCAGGGCACGGTCAACGAAAAGCTGGTCAACAACCTCTACCAGGGTGAGATAACGAAAGACGGACGGGGCCTTGCTGGTTGCCTGTGCGAGTAGCATGGAAGGGCGGGGTCGACTCGGCAGGGCGTGTATATCTCTCGGGGGGGCGAAGTAGATGGTGATAAAACTTCTTGGTCGAGCAGGGCTGCGCTGGTTTGGCAGCAGAGGACATGAAGGCCAGTAGCTTTTCCGACGGCGGTACAACCGGGGAGGACATATGTACCCCGGAATCAATAACGACCGGGTTGTGTGGCCTGAGCCATCGAATCATGATCGGGTGAGGTCCGTTCGTCGATTGGCCCAACAGTTACGTACATGACAGCAGCGTTTCTGACCACCTCTTTACCATCCCCCCCTTCACTGCATGCCCCCCTCCCCCCCCCCGGCAACAAACAATCCCAGGCTCGCTGCGAGATTACGTGACTTGCAAGGAGTGTCACTCGGAGAGCAGCCGGCTGGACAACTTCCTTGATATATCCCTCGTTCTGCGACCCTTCGGCAGCGACAAGGTACGTATGCGCAGCAGGAGAGACGACGGGAAACGGGCGGGGGGGCACCCTCTTCCTTTATGGCGGAGGCTTCGGCCACGGTTTGCGTCGTGAATTTGGGGGGGGGGGGGCTCAGTGGATGGCTTTCTCGCGGCCATGGATGCCGCGGGGTTCCCGGTCTCCTGTTGATCACCCGACAACAAATCCTTTTCCGCAGCCTCACTTCGTAGATGCGGCCGTAGGTCAAGTTACATGGTTGCCGCCGCGGTCGTTAGAGTTCACACACACACAAACACACACCCCGCGGCGCATCTTCTCTGGGGTTGGTCCGCGTGGAATCCCGAAGCCTCTATTGGAAACCCGAGCCCCGGACAGCAACCAGGGAAAGGCTATTGACAATCCGCGCGCCCCCCCCAACCGCCTCGAACTCTACACGTTCATTGACCTCTCGCCCGTGGCGTAAACCAACCTGGTGTCTTTGAATGTCCAAGCTGGACAAGAGTTGATGCTGCAAATTTTTTTTAAGGTTTGCAAAACAAGGAAGCGTGTAGCATCGGTTAGCACCCAACGTCGACCGAACGCTGTCCCCGCGGCAGTAGATAGCGAGAACGATCAAACCCGGATCTAGGTCTACGTTGATACTTAGTAGTAGCACACGGTGGTTGCTGTGACGGAACCCTGCTAACGCATTCTCTCGATTCAAAAAGGTTGATGATGAAGTCTGTGCCGGAACCCTGCCCCTCCCCCTGATCTTTTTCCTAACGCCTTCTCTTGAAAACAATAGACGATGAAGTCTGTGCCGGAGTCGCTGGAGTACTTCCTCAAGCCCGAGGTGCTGGACGGCGACAACCAGTACTGCTGCCAGGCCTGCGACAAGAAGGTGGACGCGGTGAAGGGCCTCAAGTTCGAGAGGCTGCCCTACCTGCTGTCGCTGCAGCTCAAGCGCTTCGACTTCGACTACGACACCTTCCAGAGGATCAAGCTCAACGAGGAGGTGAGGAACGGTGCAGAAAGAAGAGCGAAGCGCTTCAAGCGCGGAGTTTTGATGGATGCCAGTTGAGGACACCGTGCAGAAAAACGATGCGCAGAATGGCGCGCAGAACGACGCGCTTCAAGCGTCGAGCGCTGTGGATGATGCCAGCTGTGGGTACGCCCCATGGTTGGTAGTGGTGAAAAGCGAGAGTGGTCGAGGTGGTTGGTTCTCTCCAGGCTTCGGCGTGACCTATCGATGTTGTTGTTGTTGGTGGTGGTGGTGGTGGTTGGGGGGTGAGTGGTGCGGCCCGTGGTCTTGCTCTCTTCCTCTCTCTCGTTGATTAGGCTCGCCTCGACCTTGACCTCCTTACATGAAAGCTTGGTTAATTTTACACGGCACAACTGTGCCCCCGCCCCCCCCCCCCCTATGTCCAGATGCGTTTCCCCCTGATTTTAGACATGAACAAGTACGTCGACCAACCGGGACAGCCGGCAGACGGTGCTGCTTCCGGCGGGAATGAGGCGGGCGGCGCGTCTGGCGGTATCGTTCGCGAGCGTAGCGACTTCCAGGTGGGTGGGAGCGTGACGTCGGTAGATAGCCCTCGCGTTGCGTGCGTGTATCCGGAGACAGTGGTACATTTTGTGTGAGACGATACGTAGCTCACAATTTGTTTTTGGCATGTGGCTGATTGGCTGATTGGTGCTGTCCAGTTTGTACCTGGCGACGTTGGTATTTTTTTGCGTGGAACGATCGCTGACAATGTTGTTACGTCATGTGGCTGATTGGCGTTCCACCCTGCAGAAGCTGTGCGTGTATCTATGGGAGTTTTTCGTTCTTGTTTTTTGCGCCCTTCTTCGTTGCGGTACTGCTTGATGATGATGTTCGTCGCGCCTCAGCGGCGATCACGAGGCACTTCTTTCTTTGCTCTAGAGGATGATGTTCCACGCCGACAACACTCCGCTCCACCCAACTTCGAGCATAGCTCGTCTTCGCCTTTAGACAAAGGACGTGTTTCGTCCATTTTCCTAGGCCCGTCAACCTGACACACCCGCTCGCGAACCGCGTCTGTCTCCCTCTGCTGCAGCGTTCGGTGTCGCTCGAGAAAAAGAAGCTGCAGGGGCTGCTGGGAAAGGTGAAAGACGGCGATGCTTCTGGGGAAGGCAACGATGCCTCCGACGGCGGTACCACGCCCAAGGGTAACGACGAGGGGGCAGAAGGGTCTTCGCTCGAGATGGCGGGGTTGGTAGACGGCAGCGTGGAAGGCGAGGACGAGGGCGGCGGTGGTGGTGTTACTGGAGTGCCGGTGGCGGTAACAGGGACGGTGGGGACCGGGGGTGACCCCGACGCTGACGGGACGGACAAAGAGGTGAGCAACCAGTTTTTTTTTTTTTTTGCGACACAAACAAATTGATCTCTTCCACGGTTTTTCCAAGTTTGGCATGACTTGTTTTCGGAAGATGAGCTTACCTCTTTTATAAACTTAGAAATATGGTAGAAGTAGTAGGTTTGCTGAATCCTCTTGGGGAGTTTTTGACACACATATGTACTTTGGGCAGGGCAAATGTGGCGGAGGCATGTCGGGGGACGGAATATCTAGTTTCCTTTGGATGCCCTAGAGTCTCTGGATCACTACGGAGGGCGATGAACGACTTTTTATCACAGTTTTTAAGTGAGTCATGAAGGGGTTTCGTATCGAGAAGAGGTGGCCTGTAGAGGGTGTATGCTTTCGGCATGCGAGCTCATCGAGGCGGGTCGGGTGCCCTAGTGAGTTGAATTTATTGCGGGGTTTATTGCGGGGTTTAGCGCAGAGCAAAACACTCGTTTGAGCATCATACCGATGTTCGGTAGAGACCCTGGACCTTACACGAGCAATGTCTCTCCGCTCGACACGCACGCGCATTTCAGGACGGGTCAATGGGCAGCGGGGCGTCCATGGAAGCCAACGGCGGCGACGTTGACTTGCCGGGCTTAGAGGACTACTGGTGAGTCAACGATGCTGCCGCCCTACACGATGTTGTGCTGTCCGCGTTTTCGCGCCGGTGTTTGAATTGTTGCCGCTGCTGCTACTGCTGCTACTGCTGCTACTTGCCGCCGCCTTCATGTTTTTTGCTGGTGTCGTTTTTTCCCCTCCATCATAACATGTTTTTTTTTTTTTTGTCGGTTTCTGCGTTGGTGCTCAAAAGTGATGTTGTTGTTTCTACCCATGCCTTCGTTTTGGTTTGGTTCCCCCCGTGCACGCTTCTGGCGTATGTATGCACGCGTCTGGCGTATGCATGCACCCGCCATCTCTCAGGGGCACGTCGTTTGAAGAAGACAACCCGGCGGAGCTCCCCTCCGTCAGCAAGGGTGGCATGTTTGGGAGCATCGGGGATAACCGCGGAACCGCCGGGGCCGAGGCGGGGTCCGGGCGCGGGGTCGCTTGGGCCAGTGAGGTGAGAGTGAGAAGGAGATGTACGTACACCGGCGGGGGGAATTTGGTCGGGGCAGACGTTGTTTATTCTCCAGTAACGGGGCGGCGGGGCGTGGCGGGGCGGGGCGGGGCGTGGTATGATCCCCCCGGCCGTGGCGGTGGCTCTCCCCGCAACTGGCGTGGATGGAACCAGGAGGTGTTGTTCCTCTTGCCCGCACCGATCCTCGGGGAAACTTGGCAAGGGCTCGCTCGACATAGGCGTTATCAGCCGCTCCTGACTCAAAAGTCGAAGCGATGGGTGTCGGTCGTGTCGGGCGTGGCGTGCAAAAGACACGTTTCCGAGGGATTTACCGGCGGCGGCAGGCAAAGCCAAGAGACGAGCATGCCTTCTCTCTCTCTCTCATCCAAACCCGGCTCGAAATTGTACTTGACCTTGCGTTCATCCACTTTTGGTTTTTGGTGCTTGCGCAGGAGAACCTGGACGTGCCGGAGGAGGTTGCCGAGGACCCCCTCAAGCTCGTCGAAGCGAACGGTCCGTGGGTGTACGAGCTCTTCGCGGTGCTCATTCACTCGGGGAGCGCTCTTGGCGGGCACTACTACGCCCACATCAAGTCCTTGGGGGACGACGGTGAGACCACCAGGGTAGTTTTTTGACCGTGCGATGCCAGCGGAGGCTGTCTGTCCCATGCCCTTGCACCAACGAGAGCCTTTTTTTTTTTGCTTTTCGGGGCGTTTTGTGTGTTTGTGGCGTCAGTCAGGGAGGAACTACGTGTGCATCTTGGTTTTGGTGAAGATGGCAGGCATGACTCTCGGCTTGACTGAACTCTTCCCCCTCCCTCCCCCGCCCCCCCCCGCCTGCAGAATACACTGTTTTCCTTCCGTTGATTAAGCCACCGCCTGTTTTCTGACATGTCATGTCGTCATTCTTCCTCGTGTTGGTGCACCGTTCTATTGCCTCTGGCCTGACCCCCCCCCCCAAAACCAGCGGGATGGTTCACGTTCAACGATAGCCGAGTCACGCCTACCGACGAGGACGACGTGAAGCGGGCTTGGGGCGGACGGTGGGGGCAGACGTCCACCTGGCAGCAGCGGCGGATGGCCTCTGCCACAGCCGCCGCCGCCGCCGCCGCCGCCGCCGCCGCAAAAGCGAAGGCTGGCCTGGTGTCTTCGTCCGTTGGGGGGGAGGCATCAGTCGGGGGAGAAACAACCTCGGAGCAGCGCCCTCCGCCGCCAACGCCGGCGCCCAAGTGGGGCAACAGCGCCGCGAACGCCTACATGCTCATGTACCGGCGGGTGGACCCGTCGCAGAACAAGCTGCACCCGCGCAGGGAGGAGGTGCCCGACCACGTGGCCCGCCAGGTCAGGGAGCACGCCAGGAAGGTGGCGGAGGAGGAGGCGGCGGCGGCGGCGGCGAGGGAGGCGCTCGCCTGCACGGTTACGACCAAGGTGGTTCTCAACGGGGGGCCCGAGGAGAGGACCGTGAAGGGGGATAAGCGGCGGCCGCTCCGGGAGCTCGTCGACCGCATGGCGGAGGCGTTCGGGATCCCGACCGTCGCCGTCTCCGCTCCGGAGGCGGTGGACGGTGGGGGAGAAGCGGTCCGTCGAGGGGCCGACGACCGTGAGGCGCAGGATGAGAGGCGCAGCAAGCCGGCGGCAGTCGATCACACCGGGGCTGTTGAAGTCATGGAGAAGGGGGGGACCGCAAAGGATGACACCGGCGGTAGTGGTCAACAAAGCGTCGAGGCAGGTGGCGCGGCGTCTGCGGCGCCGGCAGCAGCGACGCCGCAACCCCCCGACCGGCTGGTGCGCCTGAGGGAGTTCCTGGCGGGCCCGGGGCTCGCGGGGGCCCCGTACGACGAAGACTCGTCCCCGGCCGAGCTCTACTTCAGCAGCCACAAGAAGGTGTGGCTGGAGACGAGACGGGCCGGCGAGAGTTGGCCTCGCTTCGACCGTGACGACGTGAACGTCGCCGTGATCCGCTTCGAGCCCGCGGCCGCTACCACCGCGCCAGCGCCGCCGGCGGTAGCAGTCAAGAAACCGATAGACGAGAACGACGACCCCCTTGGCGTTGGCGGCGGCAAGGCCATACCTCCCCCGCCGCCTCTTCCGACCGCCCTCTTCCCCGTCCTCGGCAAGTTTGGTGTCGAGCGCAACACCCGCATGAGGGCCTCCGGCACGGTGAGGGAGGTTCGCGCGGCGTTCGCCGCGTTCGCGGGCACGAAGGAGGAGCGGACGCGAGTGTTTGCCATGAGGATGGACGACCCGGAGGGCACGTACAGGGTGCTCTGCCCTCCTCCTCCTCCTCCTCCTCCTCCTCCGCGCCGCTGCTCGTCTTCTTCTCCAAGGCAACGGCGGGGGCGACGGCGGCGGTCTGCAGGAGGAGAGGTCGGCGGCGCGGTGACAGAGGAGGAGCCGCCAGCGGGTGGGGACGCGGCGGCGGCAGCAGGTCAAGAAGGACTCTCGGGGTCGGCAGCTTCTGCCCCGGTCGTCGGCTTCACAACGGCGAGAGCGCTAGTAGAGGGCACGGCCGGGCACTTGGGCGGAGATCCCGCGGATCCCCCGTTGGTGGCCGGTGTAGAGGAGAGGGGTATGTCCGTGTCGGCGTGTTCAGGAGCGGCTGCTGACGAGCGGGAAGTCGAAGCTGTCGAGGAGGGCCTAGCGGGCGACGCGCGTTTCGGTGGCAGCAGCAGCGGTAGCGCCGCCGCCGCCGCCGCCGCCGCCGCCGCCGCTGACGATGATAGTGTTGAAGAAGAGGAAGACCGAGAGAGCGAGGTTGTGGTCTTGGGGGACCGCGGAAGTAACATCATTCTGAGAATATACGTCGAGGAAGTTCCGGAAGGAGGGGACGCCGGGGACGGAGACGAGGAGGAGGGTGTGAGCCTGGCGGTCAAGGTCGCGACGGACCAACCAAATAGGTGAGCTGGCGAGGCCTTGTTTTTTTTGTGTTTTGTCGCGCTCCCACGATTGTCGGCTGGCCTAAGCTGTTCCCTTGGTGTGTGCAGCAGTGGTGCTCCTCGATGCTCCCGCCAAAGCGCCCCACCACGACGTGTAATTTGTGTGTTTAATCATTTCTGGCGCCAGTCCTGCGCACCTTTCGTCTGACATTTCTCACGCACGGTGTAACCCGGGGTCGCGCATACAGGAAGGTCACACAGGACCCTTTCATCTTTGAGTCGATTGTGTCGTCCGCTGATAAGTGACACACGAGGGAGGAGGAGATTGACAGTTTCACCCTTCGTCTCTGCTCTGCAACCGTTGTGAAGTTATTGAACGTCCGTGCCCATGTGCACACACAGCAGTTTTTTACCTCTCCGCCTCTTTCCTCCGCACGCTTCGCCACCCCCCACCCCCCCGCACACACACACACATGGGACAGGATTACCGTCACGCTCGATCTCACCGGCGGGATCGAGGGCCCCGGGCGGATGAGCGCCGACAAGCGGTGGACGTCCGACCAGCTCCGCGAGGCGATCGCGCAGGCCATCGGTTGCCCCAACCGCTCGTTCCGCCTCCGTAAGTGTCAGGGCAACACCCCGGAGATCCGGCCTGGACCGGAGACCCTGGCCAAGAAGGGCTTCTACAACCTGATCAAGCTGCACGTGTCGCCGGGGAGGCCGCTCGAGCTCCATGAGGAGGCGGTAACCGTTGCCCCCGTTGACGTGGGCTTTAGGGTGGGCCTGGGGCCGGCGCCGACATCCGTGGTCCTTGCCATCGCCGCGGGTAGGGTGAGGGCAAGGAGCAGCAGCGCAGATTCGGCGGCGGTCAAGGAAGAAGGGGGAGGGCAGCAGGAGCTTGGCTACGGGGCGGCAACAACCGAGAAGGTTGGTGTGGGGGACTGCCGCTCCTTGAAGTTCCCCGAGGTGGACGCGGAAATAGGCCCGGTCGCCATATGCGACACTACTACCGCCCCGCCCTCGGCGGATTGCTCGCCTACCCTGGGACCAGTCGGGGAGGGGCGTGGCGTCGTCGGCGAAGGCGACAACAGGCCCACTGTGGTGGCGTCCGACCTGTTGCTTACTCTCCGCGGAGTCGGGGCGGCGACGGGAGGGGGGGACAGCAGCGGCGGGAGCGAGGCGCCGACGGCGTCCGTATCGTCGTCGGAGACGGGGCAGACGACGCCGACTAACCGCGGCATCGCGCTGCTGGCGTCAGAGGAGTGCAAGACAACCCCGACGGATCGAGAAGCCGTTGCCCCCTTCGCGCCGCCCTCTCCTCCGCGCTCCTCCTCAGCCGTCGCCGCCGCGCCACTGGTCGGTGCTGCTGCTGCTGCTTCTGCTGCGCACCCGGGATCAGCCGCCGTAGGGACCGGAGCTTCTCCGGAGGGGGGAGTTGCTTGGGCGGCGGCGGCGTTTGCGGCGGCCGCGGCGGCGCAAGACGCGAAGGCGGAGACGGAGGCCCTTACCTCGACGTACGTGGAAGTTGTGCCTCCCGAAAGCCGGTGGGGCGAACAGTTCAACGTGGCGGTACACCGGGACAGCACGGTCGGGGACATCCGCCGCGCCGTCTGGACGGAGATGCGCCGGAGGGGGCTGGGTCCCAGGGGCTTCTCTGCCGTGGGCGCCGCCGCCGATGTCGGCAACGAGGAGGAGAAAGACGACCGACTACCCACCCCCGGGGCGGTATCGACCGGCCACCCCTTGGAGGAAGGGTGGACGCCGGGGGCCCTGCGGCTGCGCGAGAGGCACGTGAAGCTCCCGGCGACGATCGTGCGAGACGCCGACGGGAAGGTGACGCGCTTGCGGTCCCGACCACGGGACGCCCCCTGGCTCCTCGTCGCGCAAGTTCTTCCCCGGGAGGAGGACCTTGGGAGACCGGTTTTCCCTCAAGGAGGCGGTGGCGGTGGCGAAGGCGGCGGCGGCGGCGGCAGCGGCGATAGCGGCCACGGCTCAGCGGAGACTGGCGGCTCCGGTGACCCAGGTGGTGATGCTGGCGGGGCGGACGCAGCACGCGATGATTGCCCGCCGCAGGACGCGAGGGTGATCGTGGTGCAGTGGTGGAACCGGTGGGAGTGGAGGCTCACGGAGAAGTACGAGGCCTGGGTGAGCCCCACGGAGACCGTGGCAAGCGCGCGTCGGCGCCTCGCGGAGCAGGTACGCTTATTTATAGCACTGCTCTGGTTGTCTGACCAAACATGCACATTTTTGTTTAGTGTACGACAGAGCACGTAGTACCACTGCCACTGAATGATTTATGTGCGTTTTTGAGACTTGCAAAAGGGAGTGTGTTGAGTGTTTCGGTCCTTTCATCAAAGTGTTGTTCTCCACTCTTTGTTTTTGATCCCCAGCTCCACGGGCCCGCCCGCGCACCCGCCCGCGACCGTTCTCTTCGTCGATGCTTGCACGATCTTTTCTCTCCCGCGAGCAGGCCGGGGTGAATCCCGCCAACCTCCTCGCCAACAGGTGCGCGCCGAACGCCCGGTTGCGGCTGTTCGATCTCCGGGGCACGGCTTCGGAGCGCGGCGACGGCTCCGGCGGCTCTCCGGCGCCCGAGAAGCAGTCGTCCGGAACGTGGGGCGGCTCCTTCAGCCACAACAAGTGCCACTGGAGCGACCTCGAGGCGTCCCGTGGCGACCAGCCCGTCGGGGGCTCCGCAATATCCGAGGGGAGCCTGGTCCTCCTACAGGACTCCTCGCAGCCCCTCAAGCAGCTCGCGCCCGCGACGGAGGCCTCGATAGCAGGCGGCGGCGGCGGCGGCGGCGGCAGTGGCGCGGCGGCGGCGGATTCCGGGACGACGACGACGACTGCCGCCGACGCGGCGTGCGCGCTGTC